TGTCTTCCTCAGAAAATCATTCTCACTTATTTTCCTTCCTCATACTGTTCAATCGTTCTTCAATAGAAATGAAAGAGAATCCTTAATAAATATGTCAAATTTTGAAATTGATCGAACTTTTAATAAAGAATGTTATTCGTGAGACTCCTGAAACAAAAAACCTAGAAAACTGTTAAATTAATTAATTCCATGGCAATTTAAAAGAAAAAGAAGGCTATAATTAGCGCACGAACTAGTTCAGTCAGTGAACCAATGTCCATGCTCACTTATTTCCCCCCTTAAACCGTTTAATCTTTCTTCAACAGAAATAGAAGAGAATCTTCAATAAGTGTGTCAAATTTTGAAATTGATCGAGCTTTTAATAATTAATGTTATTCGCCAGTCTCCTGCTAAGTTTCTAGAACCTAACACATAAACAAACTGTGGATAAGAATTATTTTCACTCGAAAATTATTCATTTTCAAGTCGACGCACCAGCGACTAATTGAGGTCAAAGCTTCCTTATCACGACTTTATCTTGATCGTGAACGAATTTAAAAGCCGAGCGGATGTAACTTGAAAACAATGCAGCGACTCACTTTACTCTTCCATTCTCAGTTTCTCCTGTGCTGGAAGTTTACAACTCCCTCAGCTCAAAGTCTAACAGGAACGTCGAACCCTGGTCAGTTGTCTTGTTTAAGAAGATCTGAACATCCTGAAAAAGGTAAAGCTTGACTCAAACACATAATATGCGCACCGTAAATAATGGCAAAAATAAATCTTAGACTACACAAAGAATAGAAAACTTGACGCAGAACCAATGTGAACCGAGAAGATTTGTTGAGACTATTTAAATAGTGGGGTTGAAGGTAATGTATTCGTGGTGCGCTGACTTTAATTCATCAGTTACAACACACGCAAATTCAGTTTCGTATTAGCAAAAAGTAGCAAAGCATTCAGTTATTTTTCTCTTAACGTGAGTTAGTTTCAAGCTGTCAAAATCAGCTTTTCGTGTCGTGCATTCCTCTCTGGTATCGCTTCGCTCGTAGCTGTAATGGAATAAAGTTAACTTCGCTCGAAAATCTCAGAGATGAACTCTTTTCACTTGTATGGTCACTTTTAGTAATGATGGAATTTTATTCACCTTCGAACGGAACTACTTCAAGATAACGTGTTCCAGACACGATCAAACCAGAGTAAACCATGGCCAACAAGGACGATGAGGATGAAAAGGAAGACCGGCGACCAAGTATAAAATCGTCTGATGAGTGGGAATCTTAATTATAGGGGTTTCCCGAATTAAGAACCAACAACTTTGAAGGCTTGTGTATTCGCTTGTTGTGCATCGAAGAGTTGCGAATCGCTTAAGATAGGACTGGCCGCAAATTTACGAAAACTGAGACTGAGTAATTTTCAAAACATGAGAAAAATAATTCCATGTAAAAATATGTTTATATCTAAGCAATACTTTTCACTTCCTGTCGGTTTTCAGACGCAAAAACTCACACGGGATGTTACTGAGAACACAAGGAAAAGTTGTAAATCACCACCCGAGGGTGCATGATTACCAACGTTCCAAGTGCACTGACGCCTAAAAAAAATGATAGAAAGTGCGCCTTCTAGCTTTTAAAAATGGAGCCCTGAGTTTACTAGTTCAATGAACGATAGGCTTTCGATCAATCAAAGTGTTCCTAATATCTTATAAATTTTTACGATTTTCATCAAGTCGTCAATGTCCTCTTGATTTCTCTCTTTTTGTTTCATGCAAGATAAATCTTGAAGAAAACTCTCAAATATGACGATATGTTTGCATCTGTTCCAGGCTACACTCTGATTAATCACGTGATTGCTACGCACACTGTCACGTGCCCGATAGACTGTACGTGGG